AGCATCAAATATTTGCCTTTGTCAGAGAAGCAAAAATAACGGAGGGGCAAAACTTCTAATAGGGAAAGGTTATAGGAATGACAAGTTTGGCAGCTGTTGGCACAGGGAAGGTGGTGGTGGGTTTCCAAGAAACTTGGCATCCAGTATGACTAAGGGGGCATATTTGGCTTTCTTTCGTTGATCTACAGGTGAAATTTTGGACAGCTGATAGTTATCAGCTTCTGATCATTCTGTCTTACAGATCTCTAGTCTACATGTACTGGCTCTTGGTACCTTGTCTGTCATATCTGACTTGGTTATGTGATACTACGTACATACATACATATGTACATACATACATGTGTGTTCTGTCAACTGTGTAACTGCCATGCAGGATTGCTATGTTTATCTTCAGGCTGTGTTGCTCTGAAACTCTTAGATAAATTCCTAAACATTTCTACTCCATTTTTTTTTTTACTTTAAAATACATCACTTATTTTTTTTTGTTTCCAAGCTGTAGTATATTAGTAAATTAAAATGTGTAAAAATAATGCTTAAGGCATACACTGTAAATAGTCAAAAACCAACCAAAAAACCAGTGCATTGGAGTGTCACTGTCATAAATCTATGTATAGATTTAATCAACCCTTTTGTTTTTAGGTCATGGTTAATCTTAGTTACCTTAAATGGATTGAAAGTTGTTTAGAAAACTGGTAAAGCATCTTTCTGGGAATGTTTTTTAAACATTTATTTCTTTTTTGTGTATGTATGTATAGGCCATAGAACAATTTGAAGGAGTTATTTTCCTTTTTCTTCCACCATGTATATCTCAGGGAACGAACTCAGGTCATCATCAATTTGGTGGTAAGGTTTACCCACTAAGGAATCTCATTGGCCTTTCTGGGAAGATTTATGATAGGATTTCCAAGGATGATTAGTGTCACGTCATGAAAGTAAAGGAGGAAGATGTCCCCTGAGTGTTGATGGCACTGCCTGTTAGGGGATTGGATGAACAAAGCCCAAATGCTGTCATACAACAACCAAGCTTGATTCTTCCCCATGGGCAATTTTTTTGCTTTTGCCATGACTTGAAGACACCAGACTGCAGATCATTCAACATTTGTTCACTCATTCACTCATTTGAGACAGTATCTAATTATGTAGTTCTAGCTCTACTGAAACTATGTAGACCAGGCTGGCTTCAAACTCACAGAGATCCACCTGCCTCTGCCTCTGGAGTGCTGGGATTAAAAAGGCCTGTGCCATCACACCGGTCTTCAATTTTTAAATGGCAGACTAGACTATAGTAATTCTCTTAGGCCTTCAGCCTTAGACTGGGAATGGATAATGCACCCTATTGTTCTGAGTCTTGCAGCTTCTTAAGACTGGGCAGCAACTGGTTTTCAAGGCTTCCCGGCCACTGTGGGATTATCCAGCCTTTGTATAAACAATTTTAACTTTACTCTCCTTTTTACTGTATATCCATTTTCTATTGGTTCTATTCCCCTTGATAACTGTAATACAATATCTAGTCACAGGGTAAGTTCAGTAACACCAAGAAAATGTGAAAAAAAAACAAACAAACAAAAAACAACAACAACAATAAAACATAAAATAAAGAAAACCAAAACCCAAACAACAAAAAACAGGATTTTGAGATATATCAAAATTCAGGACTGGGATGTAGCTTAGCTGCTGAGTATTTAGCTAGCATGCATGGAGCCCTGCATTTAATCTCCAGCACCACATAAACTGGGCAGGATGGAACATGCATGTAGTCATAGAACTAGAAAGGTAGAGAGGCAGGAGGATAAACAAGATCATTCTCAGCTAATGAACTCAAGGCCAACCTAGACTACAGGAGACTGTCACACACAAACAAAAACTACTTGGTAAAAGGCATATATCTATATATGCACAATTAATTGCAATTCATTTGTAAGGACTCATAAGGTTTTTTTCACATAATCTTACTATTTGCATACATGAAAATATCCATTAAAAAGGTTGAATATATCCTTATACCCATTTTATATTTAGAGGGATAGATTAAAAAGGGTATTAGGAGACCTGGTTTTAAGTATGTTATTAAAATAGAAACAATGTATACATACAAAATTTTGTTAACATAATTACACCTCAATTAATTATCTTTAAAAAGTAAGAGTAAAATAATAATCAAAAGTTGTCACTTTCTAATGTTTTACTTACATATTTATGTTCTTCAGGTAATTTTTCACTGTTACATCAATATGATGGGTATAAAATGAACATATATCTCTTCCCAACTCAATCTTTGATAATATCACTTTGGCAGTTTGGAATTGCCCATGTTGGGAATGCAATTGAATATTCAAACCAGTATTTGCTTATACTGAAAGAGCTAGACTTAAGAGACAGGGAATATGTTACTAATGCAGACAATGTTTAAAAAATACAGCACCTTGACTATTACACTGTGAATAAAAGAGAAAAGCTGCTATAATGTTTTTCTAGTACTCAAACACATTTCCCTCCATTTACCAAGGACTGGTCTACCAAACCATTGAAGTTTGATAATAAAAGTTAGTCTATCAAATTTATCGAAGAATGAATGAAGTCTTAATACATATTGTTAGTATATATTTCTTTATTAATGAAAAGAACATTAATACAAATTTCCATTCAAAAATAGGCAAAATAGGTTTTAAAATCATACAGTTAGCAAATAAACACATAAAAATACTCAATATCATGAAATACCAAAAAAGCAATTAAGACTATATGTTATTATACACCTATTAAAATGGCTCAAAGCAAACACATTATCCATACCAAATACTAGCAGGAGTGTGGACAAGTGAGTTCACATGCTGTCTACAGCAGTGGATCTCAAACTGTGGGTAGTGACCCCTTTGGAGTTGTACAACTCTTTCACAGGGGTCACCCTAAAAACATCAGAAAACAAATATTCACATTACAATTCATAATGGTAGCAAAATTACAATTATGAATAGCAACAAAATAATTTTATGGTTAGTGGTTCCCATAACATGAGGAACAGTATTAAAAGGCTGCAGCATTAGGAAGGTTGAGACCAACCACTGATCTATACCAAGCTAGTTCAGTTTGACAATCTCTTAAAAGTGGAAACATTCACACATACTGAATTACTGGCCCAAGAGAAATAAAAACATATGCATAATGAGTCATATGCCTTTATCCATTGTAGTCTTTTTAATTTAAGGATTCAATTTAAGTAGCTGAATACATAAAAAGATCAATGGGTATTGTTGTAGTTATAAAAAACAAACACAGTAGAGTAGTATAAAGGATAAGGTATAAAAAAAGCAGCAGTGATAAATCTCAAAATAATGATGTACTGTCAAAAATATCTAGGTAAAAAGCAACTTTTGTTTTCATTCACAAACTGTACTCTTATGAGTCAAATATAAACTACTGAACACTTATAATAAGTCTGGGAAAAGGGAGATTATAAAAGGTTATGAGGTAAATCACAGACAAGGTTATCATCACAAAGATGAGTATACAACTTTTCAAAGAATAAACCATAGAGATGACTGCATTTATTAATACATCAATAAACTTTTAAAAAGTGACTCAAAATACAAAACTCAGAACTCCTACTTTCTGGAAACCAAAAGGCATGGTACCCTCCATTTTGATCTTACTCTGTCCTCATGCACAGGTAAGGGCAGCCCTTTGTTAATGCAAGAAATACTGACAAGCAGTGATAGTGGCCATACCAGACTGCAATACAGCAGCTGGACTGTGATTATAATAGCTATATTCCTGGACTACAGGATCTCCATCTCATTTTCCTGTCTCTATAGCAACAGATTTGAGGTAAACAATCAAGAAAGACCACATTATCCCACAAAATCTTAGATTTTTCTTTTTTTTTGACAATGACCTCAGCTATGTACATACACAGAGTTCCAGAGTTCTAGGTCCTGTGAACACAGCCAGAAACAAAGACTGCTGGGTGCACTTTTACAAGAGGCACATTTACAAGAGGTAGAGGCTGGCTGCAGACTCTACCATACCCAATTGTATGCCAATGATGCTTCACATCTGGATCTGCTCATCTCATGAGTGATACCAGCCTATGGAATAATTGCTATTGGGGCACATTCTTTGTAGACCCTTACAAGCTGCCTCTCCTTGTGTCATGGGCATTATAAGGACATTCTCTGAGAAAAATAGACGATAACAAAGATCCTGCAGCTCTTGGACAGCAATAAAAATTTGTTGTTGTTTTTTTTTCCTTTTGCTGCACCTTCAAGAGGTATACCAAGTTGAGACATCCACAGAAGCTGTCCATACTTTACTAGAAAATCAGTCTGTTTTCCAGCCTTCCCACTAGTAAACTGGACTCTAAGAGTAAAGGTAGCTTTCAGAATAAGGCATTTATCTATTTATAAACCAGAGCAATGAGAAGGCAGTGACCAACCATAATTAGAAGGCTGGAAACATTCACCCAACTGTCATGTGACACTGATTAAAAACTTTTTTTTTTAAAGATGCAGGTAAGCAAATTGTAGCTACCTTCAGTAGACAATATGGTACATCTTCCTGGTAAAAGCTGAGTTGTAGCCATGCTTTCAACAGTTAAAAGCAGAAAACAAATTCTCCATAAATACTCCATTCAAGAGTTCCTCCAGGCAAGCAGCACTAACAGACAATTTGCATGATGGGGTGATCACTGCACACTGGTTATGTGGTAGAGAAAGACGGCTTCTACCACAAACACTCATACATGGCAAGGACCCTGGCCAGCTCAGTATGGGCAAAGCAGCTCCTGCATCTTCCCATGCCTGACCTCCTGAGTAATCTCACACCCCTGGATGTGGGCAGAATTAAGATCAACCTCAGAAGCTTCTCTAGTGTCACAATACTAAAAGAGAGCATTCCCTGTAAGTCTAAGGCTTTTCTCAAGTATGAATTTGGAGGAGCTAAATGATGTTTAAGCCTTGGGTTGAAGGCTTATCCAAATTGGCTACTTTTATGAGGTGTCTTACGAACTGTGACATTTTTGGTGATGAATGAGACTAGAACATTGGCTAAAAGAATTCCCACATGTGTCACATTCATAAGGCCTTTCTCCCGTGTGAACTACCTGATGCTGAATGAGACCAGACTTTTGGCTAAAGGACTTTCCACACTGGCCACACTCATAGGGCCTTGCTCCTGTGTGAATTCTCCGGTGTTGAATAAGGATAGAGCTTTGACTGAAGGATTTCCCACATTCACTACATTTGTAAGGTCTTTCTCCAGTGTGAACTCTCTGATGTTTAATAAGGGTAGCTTTTTGGCTAAAGGATTTCCCACACTGGTTACATTCATAAGGCTTTGCTCCAGTGTGAATTCTCCGGTGTTGGTTAAGAATGGCACTTTGACTAAAGGAATTCCCACACTCACTACACTTGTAAGGCCTTTCTCCAGTGTGAACTCTCTGGTGTTTAACAAGTGTAGCTTTTTGACTAAAGGATTTTCCACACTGGCTACACTCATAAGGTCTTGCCCCAGTATGAATTTTCTGGTGGTCAACAAGACTGGAGTTCTGTCTAAATAATTTTCCACATTCACTGCACTCATAAGGCCTTTCTCCAGTATGTATTCTACGGTGATCATTCAGGTGGGAGGTTTGGCTAAAGAATTTCCCACAATCACTGCACTCCCAAGGCCTTTCTCCAGTGTGGACTCTCTGGTGCTGATCAAGCGAGTACTTGCCACGGAAGGTTTTCCCACATTTGCTGCACTCATAAAGCTTTTTCCCAGTGGAGGCTTTTGGCTGGTGCATAGGTGTTTGTTTTTGAATGGAAGTCTTCGCACAGGCTCCTGACTTACGACTTTTATGACTGTGAGCTTCTTTCCTACCCTCTTTGCTTTTGCTGGGCTTCAGATTGTTGGGAAAGACCTGGGATTTCAGAAGACTCAGTATGTCTGGGAGGTCCTTCTCAACATCCCAAATGGGGAAGGACTTTGCTGACGTATGGAATAGGCATTGTTTCAAGTATGAGGCCTCGTCGGCATTCTTCTTCAAGAGTTTTTCTGTACTAGTATGTTTTTGGTGCTGATTAAATTGTGAACGTGCCTCTGTACTCTGATTCTGCCCAGGTAGATCAGGCAGGAGCAAAATGTTTTGAAGAATTGGGACACACTTTTCACAGAGGTGAGTTTTTGGTGGAGAAAGAGTTGTCTCAGATCTCCAAACCCATGATGCTCGTGTCGAAACTCTCTGCTCTTCATCTTCTGTTCTATGCCCACAACCTGCAAGACAATAACTGCTGAAATGCCTGTTGACTATGTTCAGAGGAGGATGCCCCAGCATCCATACAGGCCACAGAATGCTTCTCCTGAAGACAAGGGAGCTACCAGGACGAGCTGCATTGCAACATCGGGTTGCTAAAGAGAACAGAATTGTGAAGACCTCACTGAATGAAGGCCACCAGGATGGCGTGAACCACAAGGGAAAGATGTCTAACTCTTCTACCCATGGCCTTAAGCGTCTGTAACACAGTGGCTAGACATTCATCATGGAGTAGCCTCCAAATCCCTAGGGCTTTCCGCCCAGATTGTACCATAATATCATCTGCTAGTGCAAAGTGTAAGTTTTGCAGAAGCAGGTTGTGTGCAAGCCTAGGGAACTCACTACAGTTGAAAATGAATAGCGTGTGCTCAGATTTACATGTGAGGTCGTGTTGGAATCCATAGAGGAACAGTACAGTACAGTACAGAGGAACTGGAGGTGCATGGAGACAAGAACAGGGGTACCCAGGTGCCAGAAATCACAGATAAAATAAGTCAGAAAACTACCATGTCTTGCACCTAAGCCAAAATGGATACAGGATGGTTTTGATGATAGCCTGGATAGATGTCTTCCTCTAGCTGTTGCTTACCACACCCAGGCCTCCTATGAAGCCAGAATGACCTTTCAAAAGAACCAGATTACCCCCTCTTCTCCCCCAATGGTGTCATTACATATGACCACATGAAACAAGGTCCACAGGAAAGAAATGACATAACAAATGGTCAGCTCTGATAGACTGTCTCATAAGAGATCACCATAGATCCCAGGAAAGGAAACACTAATTTTTAAATATCCAAAATGGAGGATCCAGCAAGAACAGTACATGGTTCCAAAACTGCAGCCATGCCAAAGGAAGTCATAAAAAAGCCAGCTAGTCAAGGAGAAGCACTTGTGATGCCAAGGCTCAGGATTTTTAGACACCACTAGAGGCAAGACAAGCAAGATGGTACCCATTAATTAGGATGACCATAGGATGCCCAACTCCCTTACCACAGTAAGAAGCAGGTTACTTAGGGAGTGATCTACTTGGGATAGTAGACATAGCTCAGTGGTACAACACATACCATATTTAACCAGAATATGGAGAAATTAACAGCTCTCATGGTCCGGCCGTAGAGAGGATCAGTCTGCTTCTAGGGAAAGAGGACAGAGGTCTCAGGATGCTAGGGGAACATAAGAGCCTTACCCAGGGAGTTTATAAGTGCAAAGTTCTGCAGCGTAACATTGAGATACAGCAGCCTCTGAGTCTTGTCAAGAAGTCTCCATTCTTCACGTGAGAAGCAAATGGCTACATCCTCAAAAGTCACACAGCCCTGCTATAATTGGGACAGGTTATTCCATATCCAACTTCACCCCTATGTTGCCAAGAATACCCACTTATTTACCCATGCTCTCTTCTCTTTCCTCCCCACATTCCTACCTCAAAGCAATACCAGGTCCCAGTGCCGTTATATCCCACTAGATTCTAATTTTTCCAGTATTGGTGTCATAGCACTAGCAGCAGATACAATGACACCATCTAAACTGACATGTAGGGCTACATCTGTTCTTGTCAAACAATTTCTCAGGGTCCCCCTGATGGTCCCTCTTAGACATACTCAGAGATGAGTTCACCTTTCACTCTTACATCCTCACAATTGTCCTGATTGTCATAAGTGGTCCAGGATCCTGCTCCAGAGACCATTTGTTCTTTGCTTCAATCATAGCTACCCAGGATCGCTTGCAATCTCACACAGCATTCTTCTACTTCTGCCGATCTTCACATTCCCTAGACAATCACAGTCTTACTCTTGTTCTTAATCATGCCTAAGAAGTGGTTCAAAACATCAATGGCTCTCGAGCCCATATTCAGTAACTCACAGATGCAGATTTGTGTCCCTAAAATTACCCATCTGCCTGCATGAAATACCGTAGACATATACAGGATCAAACAAAATTTCAGTAAGCCTATAGCATGAAGAATAGTCACCACTTTTGGAGTCTTAGTTTGGGAGCTCTAACAGCAGACTATCTACTGGGTGGCTTATAAACAGAAATGTATTTCTCTCAGATCTGAAGGCTTTAAGTCTGATGTCAAGGAGCCATTACTGGCAGTTTCTGGTGAAGGTCCTGTTCTATCCTTATAGACTACTGATTCCCATCGGTATTCTCAAATGGTGGGAAAAAGAATTAGCTAGTTTCCTGGCATGCTGTTTCAAGGGCACTCACTAATCCCACATAAAAGGGATCTAGCCTCATAATCTAATTACTTCTCAAAGGCCACACAAGTTAGAATTCAACAACAGAATTCTGAGGAGATGAAACCATTCAGTCCTGGCCTTGAGACACCTTCGACTTAGTATTGCTGGCACTGTGACTGCCTTAGAAATTTGATCATAGTCTTTCTCATGTCCATCTCTCTCTACTTCTCTCACAATTGTGTTTCTAATGCCTATCACTTCTGCCTAGGTCACCAAGACTCACTCATAGCCCCACCTTTCCTGAGCAGCTATCATTATTACTACTATGAGAAACAGAACTACTCCTAATTACAATATACAGCTACATGTTTGGGCTAAATACTGACCAGCATTTTTTTTTAGATGTATCCATCTCAAGCCACTTCCCAAATTCCAGACATAGAAGGCCACCCACCCATATGATGTGTTCCTTCATTGACCTTTGAAATAACTTAAAAGTAGCTAAAAACAATTAAAAAATATTCTCAATGAAAATGAACCTGCATTTGATGGAGTTTCCATCCTTCTAGATCTTAAACTCTTAGAGCAGCAGTTCTCAACTTGTGGATTATGACCCCTTTGGGAGATTTAACAACCCTTTTACAGGGGTCGCCTAAGACCATCAGAAAACATATAGTTATGATCTATGATTCATAACAATGACAAAATTACACTTAGGAAGTAGGCATGAAAATAATTTTATAGTTGGGAGTCACTACACCGTGAGGAGCTGTATTCATCGATCACAGCATTAGGGAGGTTGAGAACCACTGTCCTGGAGGCCGTACCAATATTTGACTACTACCTTCCCCTCTTTAAAAGCTAAGACTCTATGCAGCACTAATTACAAAACCAATGTAGACTCCTACCACTTCCTCCATTTTCACCCTGATCTAGTCACGATTAACACTCACCTGGATTATTAGAGCAGCCTCCTCCATAGGTTTCTTACTGCCTCCCTCACAACAACTGGGTTTTCCATGACACAGGGACATGGAGGCTGATATGGCGAACATTAGGTCAGCTCCCTCCTCTTTGCTTTCCTTTTCTAAGTGTGCCATTGTTCTCATCACTCCAAAGCAGATACCTAGATCTCAATTCATTCTAGGTCTGAATCCTACCCTACTCCTTTTCATTCCCACAGAAGAAAACACGTGGGGTGAATCTGTGCATGATGTCAGACTCATCTCCAAGCATTTACACATTCCAGTGCCTGAGTCAACCTCATTCTGTTGTCTGTTACCATTAGGAACCACTTCAAAGAACCCCCAATATTGAATGGGGATGCTGTGCTTGGGTTTGTTAAGCGTTCTTTGGCCCAGGACAAAGTCATGAGTAGTGACAGTCTGACACGCTCTCCTTACCTGCATGAGGGCCATATCCACTTCTTCAGTAATGGATACCTGTAAGAGAGATATCATGAATGATGGCAGGGATCCAAATCCTTGGGTCTTTCTCTATACTTTCCCAACATGGAGCAAGGTGACCTGGGGGTGCCTTCATTACATCTGATCCCAAATACTCAGTGCTGAGGGTTACCTGTGGGGCCCTGAACAATGACTCAACTCGCCTGTGCTATGTATTTTCACCAGGAACAGCTTTTTGGAAAACCAAAAGCCCCCACTCAAGCCTGTGTACTTCTTCCCTACAGAAATTCCTATGTCGTAGGGATAAGGATAAAACTCCCCATCTTACTATTACAGGCTTAAAATATTCCGGACTTCAATATCGCTCCAAGAAATTACACACGCTGGGGCCCTGGCTGTCACACACTGCCCCATCTCGTCACAGTAGCTTTGCAAATAGGGAACCTAAATCACACACCAGGATTTGGAGAGTAGCGACTTAATCGGACTCCCTCACTCAGACTTTGTGAGATACTTGGTGAGGGCAAAGGAGCATCAGATGTCGCAGCACTTACCTAAGCCTGGTGAATGAACGTGGGCACAGCCATCCAACTAAGGCGCACACAGATGGCACGGAGACGGGACCCGGACTTGGGCAAAGCTGTCGCCGCCAGCGCCCAGTGTGCGATGAATGCTACTTCTAGAACCGCCCCTTTATACTCTTCATCCCCTAACGCTGGACAAAGGGGTCCTGCATACAATCAACAAAAACGGGACCCAAAACCGCTAAAACTAGCGCCACAGAATGCACCCGGAAGTCCCGCCCTATCCTACCAGTAAAAACCTGAAGATGATACTGTTCTAAATGCTCATTGGTTCAGTGTTCTTCTTTCTGTGACAAACGCACCCTGGGTAACGTAGTTCCTCTAGTTGTGCGTCTGTGGCTGGGTAAGCTGTGGACCCTCACCACCTGGAACAAAGGCTAAGCGGGATGCTGGGAAATGTCCTCATAGAGGGTAGCAAACAAGCCTCTTCCAGGTATTTGTTTTCTGGTCTGCCGTAGACTTGGGCCACCCCAGTGTTTTCCAACCAGGGGGCCAACAGAATACCCCAAAGGGCTGCAAGTAAGCTACACTGGAGGTCAAAGGGGCTATGGTTGGCTAGGAGGATGACACTCTCTCAGAGGGAGCAAAGAAACTTCTCCACTTCTTGCCCAAATTCTGGACAGGCATCATGATGGAAGCCCATGCCTAGCCTCCAGAACTGTAGGCACTTAGCTGCCCTAATCCACTGCTGGAGACTACCTGTAAGTAGTCTCTTCTAAATTGCTAGGTGTGTTACACTTCCATGATTTCTGCGCTCATATCCTGGAGCCCTCCCTTAGTATTCTAACACCCGTGCCCCATCTTTCATGGCACTTGAATTGTCCCTTCCTCTCTGTCCCGTCAGAGGATGCATCACAGATCACACATGGCCCTATAAACTTCAAATATGTATATATCGAGAAACTAGAGAGCTAGCCGACTTTCCTGAATACCACAAGGAGCATAGATTACCTCTCTTAAAAAACAGGACCTGTGTGAAGCCCACAAGTTCCTCACAACTCCCCCTCTTCTGAGGGTGCAGCCCTTTGCAAACAGACCCAGCCGGCCACCTACAGAAGTGGCCAGCTGTAGCCACCAACTGGTCATAAACTGAGGTTAAATGTAACCACAGTCCACAACTGCCAAAAGCAAAGATGAACACAGTTTAAGCAATTCTGAAACTTTTAACTTGTGGACAAGTTCTGTGTTTTTCTTGTATTTGTGTATTTAAGCATCTGTCAATCTCTGGACCGAACAAATAGCTTATGATGATATACAGCATGTGATTCCAGTACAGGATACTGGAGGCAAGAAAATCATTAGTTCCAGGCCAGCCTGGCTAGATAGCAAAACCCCAAGTCAAACAAAACAACAAAATATCAACAAATACCAACAGCAAAAGCCAACTCAACAGGTTGGAAAGTGTTGACGGGAATATGGCCAGCTTGAGTATGGTGAGCATGGAGAGCATGGCTCTGGCAGGCCTTGCTCCTCTCTCACAGACACTCTGCCTTGCTAAAAACCATTACACTCCTTAAAGCTTGCCCCCAAGGTCTATCATTTATTTGGCCATTCCATCTCTTGATGGAAGGTCCAGCTATCAAAGTACTTAAGTCCAACAATCAGAAGCCCCTTTGGCTCACCTAATTAATATGTCCAATTAAAAACTCTAACAGGAGGGTTTTCTGTTCTTCCTTTATAAGCTGCCATTTTCTTAGGTGCATTGCCCACCTCCCATTCACACAGAGGCAGTCCTTTGTCCCCCTAGGGATAAATATCCCTGCCCCCTCCCCCTTCTCCCTCTTCCTCTATCTCCTGTGTTTGTCTCTTATTTCCAGCCTTCTGTCCCCCTGGGGCAAATAAATCTCCTTTGTGCTGAGAACTTGGCCTTGGGGGTCCTGAGTTGATCTTTCAGTGCAAGTGTCCTGTCCAAGTGACTCAGTTGGTCTAAACTTCTTCCAGGCAGCTGGCCTGGATTCTGCTTCTACTCAGCTACTCTGGTCTCAATCTTCTTTGCAGCTTGGCTTGTTTACTCCTAGGAAGAAGGAGCCTAGGGAAAGTGCTCAGCTTCAAGGATTTTCTGAAACTATTTTGACTTGTCTCAGCTTCCTTCCTGTGTAAGGATGGAATGTTGCAATCTCACAGTTAACAGTTACACAGCAAAGCTATACATACATTCCTAAACAGTAAGAGGCTGCAGAAATCAATGAAGGCATAGTCACTAGACTTGTGATGATTTTTTGTAATAGGCAGAGTTCACTTGTTTTGCTGTAAAGCTCTTCCACTTCCTGCTTATCACACCCAGTATTATATTTCCAATTAGGGATCATACCTGGTAACCAGTATATGTAAATTTCTGGACAGGAGGGCATGTAACTTCTTATACAGCAGGTGAAAACCTCCCCTTTACAGTGTCAGGCACTACAAATTAGCATACAAGAGCTGAACAAATGCATGCTATCATTAGAAGGACAGAAAAAAAAATAAACCCTCTTCAGTGGCCCCTGCTTTCACCAAAATGGAAGCATCAAGGCCACAAATTAAGACCACAAAGCCCTATATGCCTAGGTCTCAGAAAGAAAACAAGATGAAAGAAATGAGAAATATTTTTGACTCAGCTGTACCTACAAGACAAAGTGAGATCTCCACAAAAGCTGTTGATCCATGCAGAGTTCAATTTTGTCTCCTACTATTGAGAAGAAGAATCCCAAAGACTACAGGTAGACTCAACAGTAAACGTGTTTATTAATGCACAGGCTAGAGGTTGGTAGTCTCAAGTTGGTAAATGGAAGGCTGGAAAAATTAACCACCATGTCAGTGTAAGACAACAATTTCCATAAAGAAGGGATGATAATGCTGGAAAACTTCAGCAGACTGAAGTCTGGTTCCTGCTGGTAAAACATGACAGATGCACGTTTCAACCACTCAGGAAAAAAACAAAACAAAACATGTTCCTCTTAAGGCTTTGCTCAGGATTTAGCCTTTCCTTAGCATGTTGAGGATACCAATGCACAATGAGCAAGCTGATAAAAATGTAAGATGGTTTCTACCACAGAAAATGGCTTGAGTATAACTCAGACAAGGGCCCAAATCACATCAACATGTATGGAGCAGTTCCTGTAAACCCCATCCATTCCTGAACACACAAAGAATACAAACGCCTTGGATGTTTGAAAATATAAGGTTCAACTTCAGGCAAGCAGTTCAATTATAAAAGTTAATACTGGGAAAAAAGGAAAAGGAAAAATAAATGAGAACACTCCCTGCAGGTCCATGTCTTCTTGAGCACAGTATGAACTTCCAAGACCTAAAGAATATTAGACCTTGGACTGAAGCTATTTTTGCATGTTATTCTCATGAAGCCTCTCCATGGTGTGAGACTTTTCGGTGGAGAAAGAGGGTAGACTGTTGGGGAAAAGATTTTCCACATTTACCACACTCATATGGTCTCTCTCGTGTGTGAACTACATGGTGTTGAAAGAGGTGACACTTTTGGACAAAAGACTTACCACACTGGCCACACTTAAAAGGCTTTAATCCAGTATGAAGTTTCTGGTGTTGCATAAGACCATTGCTTTCTTGAAAAAATTTCCCACATTCTTTGCACTCAAATGGCTTCTCCCCAGTGTGAGATCTCTGGTGTCGAACAAGCTTAGATTTGTAAATGAATGCTTTCCCACAATCGCTGCACACATGAGGCTTTTCTGCAGTGTGAGTTTTGTGGTGTTTGTTGGAAGTATCTCTTTGGCTAAAGGATTTCTCATTCTCATCACACCCATAAGGCCTTGCTCCAGTGTGAATCATCTGGTGTTCAAGCAGACTATGGCTGTGTGTGAAGAATTTCCCACATTCATCACATTCATAACGCTTTTCAGCTGCATGAATTCTCTGGTGCCGAACAAGAGTTGATTTGCATCCAAAGGATTTCCCACATTCATCACACTCATAAGGTCTTTCTCCAGTGTGGATTCGGCGGTGTTCAGTAAGGTTGGAAATTTGCCTAAAGGATTTTCCACATTCATCACACATATAGGGTTTTTCTCCTGTGTGAACTCTATAATGTTTAATGAGGGTATCTCTTTGGGTAAATGATTTCCCACATTCACCACACTCATAAGGCTTTTCACCTGTGTGAATTCTGAGGTGGTTATTTAGGTGGGAGGTCTGTCTAAAAGATTTTCCACATTCATTGCACTTGTAAGACTTTTCTCTACCAGGGACTCTATTGGGATGGGTAAAAGAGCTTTTATGGCGGTGGACTTTCCCACATTTAGTATACTCAGAAAGTCTTTTTCTAGCATTGGCTCTTGGGTGGTGATCCTGATTGTGTTTAAGGCTGGAGGCTTCTCTGTGTTCACTCTGCTTGGAATGTCCTCTTCTAGTCTGAAAGCCCTTTCCACATTCAGTGATTAGGTTTGGTTGCTCACAAATGGGAATGGTCTGTGGAGGGATAATGCCCAATGCATCTGGGAAGTTCTTTCTAACTTCCGCAGAGGGGAAGGGCTTTTGTGACCCATGAATTCTGCAATTCTTCACCAGTAAGGCTGTATGTGAGTGTCTTTTCAAGGTATTTTCTGAGCTGCGATGATTCTGTTCCTGGGGAAGGTTTGATTTCTGCCTAAGTTGATGAACCAGGTGCAACATGCCTTTCAAGAGTGGCAAATATATATCACATGGATGAGACTCCTGGTTAGCGGGACTTGCTTTTGGGGTCCTGACCAGTGACAATCCTTCTACAACAACCTGATCAAAGGGTAGCTTTCCATTCTCCATTCCTTGCCAGCAATCTGAAAACAGAGAAATTAATTATTATGAAACATATTTATTATGATGAAGGTGTATTATTCATGTTTTAAAATAACTTTCTGTAAAATTATTTATATACTTTATTACTTTTTATTTTATTTTTCTGATAAGTTCTCACATATCTCAAGCTCACCTCAAACATATCACGAAGTCATTGTTTACCTTGAATTTCTGATCCTCCAACATATATGCTTGTAAAGCTAGACATGTAGCTTTTAAAACTAAGCTACACCCACAGCCCAATAGGTAATGTGAGGGTTTTTTTTTTTTTTTTTTTAAATTTTATGTTTTATTGTTTTCTTGGTGCCAGGAGTTACCCCAGGACAACATTTCTCAACCTGAGGGTTGCAACCCCTTTGTGGGCTGTATTTCTGATAGCCTGTGCATAAGATATTTACATTACAATTCATAATAGTAGAAAAATTATAATTTTGAAGTGGCAATGAAATATTTTTATGGTTGGGGGTCACCACAACAGGAGTAACTGTATTAAAGGGTCACAGTATTAGGAACGTTGAGGACCACTGTCCTAGGGCTTTACACATCTTAGGTTAAGTACTCAACCACTGAGCAGTATAGCAACAACTTGATTTTTAGATATCTTCAAAACTTTGCTAAAAGCAAGGCATGATGGCATGTGTTTGTTATCCTAACTATCTTGGAGATTGAGACAGAACTGTTTTAGATCAGGCATTCAGGCTTAGCCTGGGCAACACAGCCTGACTGGTGAGTGGGATCTTTATTGCTGCTGGCTGGGGAGAAACTAGAGTCTTCCTCTAAGCAAGGCAATTCTTAAGCAATAACAAAAGGCTTCAGCGGGCCTATAGCATTTATATGCAAATGAACCAATCAACAGCTCATGCTCCCTGCCACATTTTCTCTCTTTTGGACAATTCAAGATAGAATGAATATTCCTTTGTCTATAATCATCCTGAGTTCAGGGAGCAGACAAGTAAGGCCAACTCCCCCACAAACCTGCTGTTATTATTTAAACTGCTCAATCCTAAACTGTTTGCCACGTTCTGCTTTTCATGGAGTAACTATTGGTGGTTGTGATTAATTGTTTTTCCTTTCTTGCTTCTGTGTCCTGAACACCAGGTACTTCTCAGGGGAACACCAAACTGTCTTATATCAGTGTCCCCAACCTCTCTGTGCTATTACTCAGTCACTTCTCTAGTTAAAATCCTGCAGGTACATTTTAAAACAAGAAAAGGAAAGTCTTATGATTCACATAGAAAGGCATGAGGCCATGGTGTACTGATGTGAGGAAGAGGGAACTACATGTGAGGTAAGGAAGGGGCTGTCAGGGAGTGTTAGGTCAATATCACAAAATATGGAAGCCTCATGAGACAAAGGACACAAGGCTGAATTATATCACAAACATTAGCGGCAACTTATTCCTCAGTCAACAACATTCATCAAGACCTTATTGTTTGGGGTCTTCAATATAGGAATTCTGTATTGAAGGTTAAGGATGTCTCAGATGTGTTCAAGGAATATTTAAGCATTTATGGATACTTCACAATGAATGCATATGAGTCCTGGAAAATGCCACACAGGGGGTGGGGTACAGAGCAACAGGTAACAAATCTCCCCTTTTCTCTGGGCAACTCATCAAGGTCAACTGTCCTCTGGGATTGCACTGCACTAAAAAGCATCCAGGGATATCTCCATGCCCCTTGTCATGAATCTGCATGGAACTTGCATGAAGCAAGTCCTAAAAGAAATACAAGACAGAGCAGATGAGCCTCCAACAATGGCCCAAGAGACTCAACTTATTACATGAGCAGGATGGAAAATAACATACTCGGAGATTTTTGGCAACATCTCATAGTCCTATGTAAATATTGATCATGACAATACCTGTTATTTCTCACTCTGGCAGTCATGGGGAGCTATCATTTAGGAAGAGGTGCAGAAATTAG